TTCCATTTAAAAAAAATGACGGTGACGTCATTACTCGAACGTAATTCACCCTGTATATTAGATTATTATTTTAAAATACGGTAAATTAACATCAAAAATCGACGTGTTCCAGGATTATTTCTTAAAATGACCTGTTTAGCTAAAAATGAATTTGTTCCATACTTTACGGACACAGTGTATGTATAAAACATAGTGATGAAACCAGCACTGGTATAATCGAAGTAAACGATATTGTGCATATTTGAAGTTGTCGACACTCTCAAAGGCCAAAAAAAAAACAATACATAGAGAGCCGAACTAGTCCAAGTGGACTGTAGACTTGGCGGTTCCTATTGGATAATTTTAACTAACCGAGTTTTATGTTTGGCTGTAGAGTCACAAAATTACATTTGAAGTCATGTTATGGTGACGAATAGAAATCGGGAATGCGGTGATGGTTATCGCCGTCGTGTTCAGTTCAGGAACTGATCGTGATCTGAGTGTTGAAATTCGATATTGGTGCGGTCATAATTACATAAAATTTTGGTTATCTGTTTGAAATGTGGCGTCTTGGACAGGTATTAATAATAACGAGTGTGATAACAACGCATACTTTTTCCAGTGTAGTGATTTCAATAGCGATGGTGAACAATGCGAAAAAGAGATACCAGTGAATGAGATTAGGTTGCATTTGAATATTGAAACACAGAGAGTACGTTTCAATAAATATAATAGTCTACATCTCAAGTTTGGTTTCGAGGGAAACAAACTATTACAAGCAACATCAGATTTGACGAAATTTTTTTCTCAACTGTACGTAAAATAGTCAAAACAAGCCTTATGAACGTAAGAAGCGATGTAATACAGGGTTACCAAAACCTTTAGATGTTGAATTGAAGGGGTTATATTTTTAGGAGTGATTAATTTTTTGGGAAAGAAAGTTTTTGGCTTTCTACTACTCCATCTGATACAAAAACAAGGGATGAGAGAATCTTCCAAAGAAAGGAATGAAGTAATCAAATTGATTACTTCCACCATCACTGACATAAAAAACTTGGCAAGTTGACTTGGGTGTCACACCAATAGGTGGTTCCACTTATGTTTCGCTTGCGTTTACGCAGTTATTTTTATCAAGTACTTTTCTCAGTTTTTCACATTTTGTACCAGTTGAAAGGGGAAGGGAGCCAGGCTTCAACCTGCAGGAAATCAAGATGGATTACGTCACATTTTGTCTTCAATCGAGGACCGCCTGCCCGGTACTGACGTAGCTCCCTAACTATATTATTGAAGGAGAGCTGTTGGAAGGTAGGTTGCACTATATCGTTTACTTGAACTATACCAGCAACAGCCGCAGTGTTCAGTTCCATTTTTACTTCAAAGCTGGGTTTGGTTTGGTCAGGTAAGTGGTTTCGGTTTAGACGCGGAACACTGTTGAAAACATGTATCCTGATACAAGTTGCTGTGTCCAATAAATATGTTGCCAACATCCGTCAACATGTTGCCAACCTTTTGTTGACCGTACTGAATTCACTTCAAGGGATGGTTTAACCAGTAAAATCAGTAGTACCTATGTGCATTTCTTTAATGTCCCCCCCTTTTATTTTTTGAATGGATCAACTCAAAAAATTGAAATTGTAGTTAATGAAATTAATGCATGAATACTTCATTTTGAAGTGAAATTGATAGATGGAAATTTCGAAATGGCGACTGGGCCCCATCTGGAAAAAAAAACTGAATAGAAAGGGGGTTTTGTTACAAATAATTTTGAAGCTCCTGACGAATACTTCACAACCCTAGAATATGAAGTCAATATCTTATGGCGGAACATTTAATAATTTCCTGAAGACAAACACATTAACATCGATATTTCTAGAAATATTCCTTTTTATCTGTCGTATGGCAATTCCAACAACCCGATAAGGTTTGTTAAGTTATTTTTTGTTTATAAAAACGACAAAAAATGTCAGTACGACAATGAACATCATTGTTCAGTTAGATTATTCTCATTTAGTTTTCGGTTTTATTAGTAGAAAAGTACCAAGTCAACAATCTCTAAAATGGTCAATTCTCGTCCATTGGAAGAAAAAATTGAACCATTTCCAAATTCCAATTCTTTTCAGGTATTTCGTCTTTCTCACCCTTCCTCCACTCCCACGACAATATGGGCAACCCTACGCACCCCGTCTATCCTGATACGATGATGACATTTGGAAACGACTACAGCATTACCTACAGATTGAAGGGATTTCTGTACAACCTGTGGTTAAGAGGTCTCTTCTATTGGTATATCATGCCGAAGGAAGATAAATTGGCAAGGAAGTATTTTGGAAATGATATTCCGTATCTTGGTGAAGTCTACAAAAATACTAGCCTGTTCTTAGTCAATGTCAACCCGATTATGGGCATTCCCAGAGCGAATGTACCTAATGTGATCGAAATCAATCAGGTTCATATTCAAGAAAAAAAACCGTTACCAAAGGTAAGAAAAATGAATGAAACGTTGTGTATCTTCGACAAACGGAACATAGTCCACGTTAACACGGTTACTGATATTTCACGAATCTTTTCAACAACACCAGCTTCAATCATTCATATGATTCTTTATATATTTTTCGACAAACACTTTTTGAACTATATATTTTCAGGACCTCCAAGAGTTTTTGGACTCGTCCGAAAATGGAGCCATTTATTTCAGTCTGGGTTCTTCCGTAAACAGCAGCAATTTGGATTCAAGAATCACCAATACTCTGAGCCAAGCTTTCTCAGAACTACCTTATAACGTACTGTGGAAAAGAGAAATTGATGATTTAGCCAACAAACCCGATAATGTTCTCATCAGGAAATGGCTACCGCAGCAGGATATTTTAGGTCGGTATCTATTATCGCACCCTTATATCTTCATTCTATTCACCAGATTATAATTAGTAAAAATCAAATCGAAGTCAAAACGATTAAAAAAGAAGTATTGGTAATGAGTGATTTTTTGCTGGTATCTTATTGGCAACACTGTTTTGACAGATCACGCATGAATCGTGTCTTGTGTCATTGTCAAACTTGTTCAGTTTGGTTTATAATTTAACCATGAATCGACGTACAAATGAACAACACTTGCAAATTATTGAATTTTATTATCAAAATTCATGCTCAGCGAAGAAAGTGCATCGTGCACTTCTTCCAATGTATTGGCAGTTTCGTCGGCTTACTGAGGGAGCTATTTGGAAGCTTGTGTCTAAATTTCGAACCCAGTTTACATTATTGAACATTGAACCACCAACACGCATGTGTAGAGTGAGGACCGAAGGAAATATTGCAGCTGTATTCGCCAGTGTTCGTGATGACCGTGAAATGTCGATTCGCCTCCGTTCGCAGCAATTGGGCCTCTGTTACTCTACTACGTGGAACATTTTGCGAAAGGATATGGGTGTGATACAGCTGGTGCAAGAATTGAAGCCACACGACCTCCCACAACGTCTTTCATTTGGTGAATAGGCGTTGGCAAAGTTGGAGGAAGATCCACATTTTTATCGAAAAATTGTGTTCAGCGACGAGGCTCATTTCTGGTTGAATGGATACCTTAACAAGCAAAATTTCCGCATCTGGAGTGAAGGCCAGCCACTAGCATTGTAAGAGCTACGGATGCATTCCGGAAAAGTCATTGTTTGGTGTGGATTTTGGGTCGGTGGCATCATCGGGCCGTACTTCTTCAAAGACGACAATGGCCGGAACGTTATTGTGAATGGCGAGCACTACCGTGTGATGATTGACGACTTTTTGTTGCTCAAAATAGAAGAATTGGACATGCCTGACATGTGGTTTCAACAAGACGGTGCCACATGCCACATGACACGCGAAACAATGGCCCAATTAAGAGCCGCCTTCGGTGAACAGTTTATCTACGTTTGGGGCCCGTCAATTGGCCGCCTAGATCGTGTGATTTAACGCTTTTGGATCATTTCTTGTGGGGTAACGTTAAGGCTCATGTCTACAGGGATAAACCTGCAACGACTGACGCTCTGGAAGCCAATATTGAATCATTTATACGTGAAATACAGGTCGATATGTTAGAGAGAGTGTGCCAAAATTGGACTTTGCGCATGGGCCATCTATAGCGGAGCCGCGGACAACATTTGCATGGAATCATCTCCAAACATTGAATTATATTGATCATTCGATCAATTCCAATAAAGATTTCATCAATTTTTTCGAAATTTTTGTATTGTTTTGTAAATCAAATCCTATACCTCTTGAAAAATCACCCGTTAAATGATATTTCTGATGTCTAAAAATCACTCAGTTGTTCATCTGTTAGAACGATATTTCTGCATCCCTACGGATCAATTTTCAAGTTAGCATCAAGTCAAAAGTATTTCCTGCAAATCACTCCTAAATTCTGTAGGAATTTCTTGTAGGCCATCCGAAAGTCAAGGTATTCGTCACCCAAGGAGGTCTGCAATCAATTGAGGAAGCCATCTACAATGAGGTACCAATGGTTGGAATACCGTTAATCGTCGACCAACCGCTTAATATTGAAATCATTTCCGACAAAGGCATAGCTGTGGGTCTGAACTCCGAAACAATGACGAAAGACGATGTGAAGAAAGCAATCATAGAAGTGGCTGAGAATGAAAGGTGAGTTTTCACTCAATACTCGTATGTCTTCAATGCAACATTCATAGGAGTCATCGCTCTGTGAAGTAGCCTCCAATCTCTCCTGATCTCGTGCCTTTTGGAATTTTTGTCTTCTGATACCAATGTCTGTTTGCTTGTCTGGTCGTCAGTGGTGCCATCAGTACCACACCGTCAGCGGCCATGGAGATCCTTCTAGATCTAACTCCTCTCCACATTTTTCTGAAGAGAGAGGCTAGATGGTCTGCATATAGAATTGTACACATTGCCAATTGCACAAATCGATTTAATACAGAGTGCAATAGACTGTTGGTTGACACTGGAAGTCACAGCATTCTGGAAATGACCTCTGACTTTATGCCTCCAACTGTCAACTACGAACTGCGTTATAAAGTACTGTTCCCGAGTAGAGAGGACTGGGTCCTCCGGTAGAAGGAACCCGCCTGGGAACCTCTGCGATTGTTCTTGAAGCGAAAATTTACTCTATTGAATTGTATGCGGAGAAATTGGAAGAATCCAACCTCATACACAAGTCACTAAAAATATTCTCGGACAGTCAAGCGGTGTTGCAAGCTCTTGGCTCCTACCAAGTAACGTTAAAATTGGTAGAAAATTGCCAAAAACGACTATCCTCGATAGGAAGACTTAACAGATTGTCTCTGGTCTGGATTTCTGGCCATACTGGCCTGGAAGGCAATGAAGCTGCCGACTTCCTAGTAAAGGAGGGTGCTGCAAGCAGCTCCATCGGAGTAGAACCTGTTATTGGCATCGCCAATGGCTCTGCCACACAAAGATTGAACACCTGGATGACAAGAAGATTTATGGACTTCTGGCAGAATCTTCCAGGATTGGCCCACTCCAAGGCGTTTACTCCACCTTCGAAGTTTGATTCCAAACAGTTGTTGGACTACAGTAGGGATGTATCACGATGTCTAACAGGCCTCCTTACAGGTCACTGTTATTTGAACCATCATATGCAGCGATTCGGACTGTCGGAACACAGTGTGTGTCGCCTCTGTTCGGAAAATGATGAAAGGGCGGGGCACATACTTTGTGCCTGCCCCACCGAGGTCCGAATCAGGTTTTTAGAGTTCGGTAGAGCCATACTATCACCATCTGACCTGAAAGATCACTCACCATACAAACTAATCGGCTTCGTTAAGAAGCTGGGTTTATTTGGTCGATATGAATGGGTGTGAACCACAATAAACCCTTGCGGGTTGCGGTAGAGGGTCGAATAGACCCATTCACTTTGGACCTAAGCTAACCTGTTTGCTAGTGATGTGCTATAGATATGTGACTCTATTTCCATGACAATATTCATCTGAGGATTAACAAACAAGTAACAAATCTATTACAATCTATACTTATGAATGCGAAAGTCACTCATATAACACTCATTCATTTCTGTTTCTCCAGACTGATAAGTATGTAGGTTCGTTTATGTTGTAGATGTGAAATAAGATTTTTTAATATTTCAGCTGGGGCGCCAGCCGTGGAGAAAAAGGGGCGTTCATAAACAAAATTATCTCTTCATCACTGTTTCTCCATGAACTTAAATTTCCGGTGGGTGAATTTAATTTGGTATCAGTATTGTACCCGTGCACCCGGGGCTGATCGATAGTTTTTCATCATAACACAAACATATAGAAATGTTCAATGAATCGTTTTCCTATGATATATTATATTTTTCTTTCGCATCTATGAACATGATCACAATAAAAAATATATCCACTGCTGTTTTTCTTCAACATCTCAAAATAAAATTTTCTATTCGTAGGTATAAAGAAAAAGTGAGGGAAGCAGCTGCAATCCTCAAAGATCAACCTTTGAAGGGAGTGGATAAGGCCATTTATTGGATCGAGTACATCCTCAGACACAAAGGGGCGAAACACCTCCGTAGTCCCGCTGCTGATATGCCCTTCTACGAGTATTTCATGTTGGATGTCATTGTGGTCTTGATAGTTATCTGCCTCTCATGCGTTTTTCTTGTCACTGGATTGTATGGGTTGATTAGGAATATGAAGAGAAAAAATAAAATCAAGAAGAACTGAATTTCACTTCATTTTCTTGTTATTCAAATTTCGATTTGTGGTTGGCATTTTGCATCTAAGTTGCCATGTCAAACTCTGTCCAAAAGGGTCTTATTATAAACATTTACTAAATGTGATTTAACAAACAGAAACGTTACTTTACACATAGATATATTCATATAATATTTTCGAAAGTTAGTCGCCTGAGTGATTTGGTGATTTTGATCAATTATCTTCAGTTATTATGTTAGAAATATGTTTTATACTATTCACGAGTTTTCAAATACAAAAATGTGATTTGCCACTATGTGTATTTTCCTTGTCCATTCTTGTATATGTATTTTGTTTTGTTTTCTGTCAATATAAGGAAATGAATAAAATTTGAAATAACTACTTTTATATGAAGATTGGATTATATGAAAAACACGTTTTCTATTCAGTTTGTACTCCTTATTTTACAATGGTGTGAAAATGTATAAACATCTGCCAAGCTACTCTAAAGAGACAAATATCAACCCAATCAATACAGGAAAATAATCAATGAATTTTTGAGTAGTGAACCCTGTTATAGTTTGACTAAGTTCCATACCGTGCGTGTTTTATGTGTGTATTTGTTTCAACCATTGTTTGTTGTTTTTATTCAGTGTTTTTTATACTTTAGTTTAGTGTACACTAAATTTTGTTTATATTTTTATATTCATCGGACATTTACGTATTTCATTCATACTTACTTACTAGCTTTGTCAACAAGATTTTTTCTTCGGACAATAAAGTCTCATTATTATTATTAAAAAGAAAAAACCGTCACAGGAGCATACTAAGCATCATCACTTGACAAGCTGAAGGCAGAACTTATGGAAAAAACAGCTACATTTGCAGAAAAAATAATACATCGTGGCATACCTCAGCGGTAGCCATGGCGAAAATCTACGAATCACGGTTTGAACTGCTTGACTATCCGCTTCACCCACCAGATCTAGTCTCAAGCGACTTCTTTTTGTTTCCTCATCTAAAACTTGCGCTCGGAGGACAGGAACTTTCGTCAAATGAAGAGGCTATAACCTTCGTGAACAATTATTTTGCAGAGAAAAATACCGAGTACTATTTGAACGGGTTACATACATGGAGTATCGCTGAAAGAGTTAAAAGTCAAGAGGAAATTCTATCATGAAATCATCTTCAAAGTTCTTCGCTCATTCACAATGAGGTTTCCATCTATCAGAAGAAAACTGTTGAAGAAAGTCGTCACAATGTTGCATGACATCGTTGAAATTGAAAGTAACCTTTCTATTCGACACGTAATCTTTCAGACAAGCCGAAATCAACTCAGTTGGATTCAAATCCGGGTGATATGGTGATAATAGTACAATGTTATTATTTGCTGCTGAATAGGGCTTATCTGTTTCAAATCGCTTGAATTTTGGCTTACAGTTTTTATATATCAGGCGGTATAAATAAATATTTCTTTGAATTATACAGTCAACAGACACATCGCAGCCATCAATAAGACCGACTTGGCTTTTTAGCGGGGTTATTCGTGATATTCTTCAGTTTACTTCGGGAGCGCGTTGAATAAACAGCTATACAACATGGAAGCTAGTTGTTTGGGAATCGTGAAGCGTCAGAAATTGTCACCATTGAATATAAATGAAAAAACAATTGTTATGAATGTATATATTTCTTTAAGACTACAATATCCGTCCGAAATAAAAAGTACGGAGGAAGTAGTTAAAAAATGCGCGAGTATGACCGGTGTCAATAGATCGACAATTTTTAGAATTCTCCAACTGCGGAAATCTAGTCTATTTGTATACTTATCTGGTGATGTTTCGAATACTTTATCCATCTTTATTATCATACCGACGATCAATTTGATATTATCAGTGTCAATGATAATATAGATATCAAATTTATTCACATCAAAAGACGAATCATAACTACAAATTATAATGTTTTGATTCAAATATGTTGGATAAAGAAAATGGATAGAGTCTTTAAAACGTCACCAGATGATACATATTTCTTTCAATATGCAAACTTTTTAAATTCAAGTTAATGACAAATTTGATTTTTTTAAAAAAAGCTTATTTATGAAATGCAGTAACTTTCTGCCCTTTCTACATTTGTATTTATTTGTAAATTTAATATTCTGATTATTTTATAGATCTGTTGAAGGTAACAATTCTAAATAATTAAAAACTATTTCAAACTATTTCTCATCTTACAGAATATATCAATGGAAAATTTATATTAATACCCCCAATCCGACGCCTATTAATAGTATTTCAAACGCAAAACATCGAGCGGTTCTTTTGGCGGTATTTTCGCATTCTTTGTCGGTATTTTCGCGTTCTTTGTCGCATATCCCTATTTTAATGGCTCGTTGGCGGCGTCCTCAAGGGATATAGAGGGTAGACATATCTCAATGATTTTGTGGGTGAATTGCAGTGCTATTTGCTTTAGACGACTATGTTGCTTTCTTTGATATAGCGACATATTTGCATTCTTGAAATTCTTTGATTCTCAGACAATACTGAACGATCTATAGTCACCTCGTATAACAAATTGTTACCTGAAATGGAGCTACCAGATACACAAATATAATATGTACCTAACTTGATTGCTATTTTAGAGACCACATTTCGTTCCGTAATTGGAACTGGTAATGTATTTTCATCACTGGTAGTAATCATGGATCCAATTTACAATGTAAATATAGTCATTTCTATTACTGAAACACCAAAACGTTCCGCCAACACAAAAAATCAGAATATGGTAAATACTGAATATTCGCCAAAGGTTATTTGCAATTTGATTTCGTTGTTTCGCGAATGCCATGAATATGTTCAAAGCATCCCCGTGATTTTAGAATTAATGAACTGTGCTCCGACTCAACGTCTATATCAGGGCAGGGGTACTTTAAGGCTCCATTTCAGACCTTCTCTGTTTCTCGAAACAACACCTCTTTAGTAGAACGATAAAAACAATGATGAAATTTAACCGCAGGAAAAAAATAACCACATAACTTGATAAATTACATAAAATAAATAAAAATGGTCAGGATTACAAAATTTTCGTTCGATTTCATACATAACAATATAGATAACAGTTTTTTGCAGAGTCAACTGAACTTTCTAGTGCCAGAATTAGAAAGAGACGACATAAATTTCTGAGGGAAGGGTAATGGTTCAAATCATTGATGACTGGCGAATTGCTCTAGAAGTTGGGCCAAAAAATAAGTAGAAGAACGCAGAAACAGTAGTTTTTCATTTGGACACTCTTCAAAAATGATTGAGAAAAAGTGTCCATATATTATATGCAGGAGTTTCATTCAATTTAGATACTTCCTTGATATTCATTGTGAATTAAAATTCTGAAAATTATATCTTGTATAAGAGATTATATTGATATCTAATGTCTCCATAGTTTATTCATTTGCACACAAACCATTTTTGTGATATTTTGTAATAGTTGAATTCTCAGGTATGAGTTAGAGATGTCAACATTTCCTGTGATTGGGTATGTTGAAATGTCGGCTTTCTTTCAAAAACATTTCTTGTCACGAAATTTATTCTATATTTGCCTAGCGCAAAATGCAACTTGAAAATCTATGATTTATTCATCGAAACGACAGAACTCGCGACTACTCCATAAAACTTCACGTCCAAAATCAGAATGGAAATGAAGTACCTCCAGCAATGAAAACAACTGAACTATACGTTTTGTTTGTATTGAAAAAACACCCGGAGGGTTGAAATGCATTTTGATTTTTTGTTCACAACCCCAATTCTCGATTGATTTGAAATTGGCCTAATTGTAGGTTGAAAATCGTTCCTGCTTCCTACAGAAAAACGTTTAGAAAAAACGGACAAACAGAACAAATCGGGATGGAATGTTTGGAAATGAATGAAGAAGAATGGACATTCAAATTGGACGCTTTGCAAGAATTGTTTTTTGGCTGTCTGGAAAGGAAATATATTGAGCAAGAGGAATTTCGAGGCAGCTGAAATTGATCAGAAACTTTTAAATCTCACATAAATGCGTTTCTCCAATTGATTTTTATAGCTGCTGAAACTCAGTGCGAATCAGAAATATATGAATTTATCAGCTGAAAGTTAAGTATTTTTTAAAAAGTTTGATTTGAATGAATTTGGCACTCTACACTTTTGACTTAAAAAAACTCTTTTCGTTACTGTAAAATTGATTTTTGTGCAGACGAAAAGCAGTTGAATTATTCCTTTCTACCCCTTTAGACGTTAGCGTCGCTATTGAAAAAAATAAATAGAGATATTTCCTCTCTCATGAATCTTTCGCAAAAACAATCATTGAAAGTGAACACTGAAAAGACCACGGTTATATTGTTCGGATCACGTACTCATAGACACTTACTAGAAAATTCCATAAGATTAAACGTAGCAAACACTGATATAACACCTGTTGAAACAGTGTGATCTTCAACGATGATGTACGATTTAAAACACATGTGAAAAATAATCGTCGTTTAGCATTCATGAATTTGAAACTTATATGTGGTNGTACTGCTTCCTCAAGCTGTGATGTTCGTACTTTTCGATGGCGACCACAATCCTGCGTTTTTATCGAATGAACCATATTCTCGTAATCGTTGTTAAAGTCGAGCAAATATTCTATGTGAAGGATGCTGCCGTTGAGGATACATTTCAGCATATCTTCTAGAAGCTTCTAACCCATTCCCCTGCGACAGACCGTGAACGTCTGTTTTTCCACCCCTTACAACCATGGAGTAAACTAAATAATTTTCTGGCTAAGTGTCTTTTTGGTAGTACAAAACGTCAGGTTAGTTTCAATATTGTAACTTTTTTAGTGCTTGTGAAAAAAATTTGAAACAAATTTTATGTCCCCCTTTAAGGGGCTGTATCTTAACAACGGATTCCCCAATGAAATTTCTTCGGGTTTTGCCTTGCAAGTTAAACAAATATTTTATCCAGTTGTGAATGAAATGATACTTACCAGGTTTCGGTTAGTCTAACGCCAAAATAAATCGTACATCTCTACTCCACTGACGTTGGTCACGAGTCCTAGAGTCCTAAAAAAACATATTATTATTTATACCGCTATATTATGTCAAGAAAAGATAGATAAATGAATAGGTATGTGATGTCAAAGGCTGATACTTCATGAAAATCTATGGTAAACCAAATCAAATCAAAATCAATATTTATTTATTAACTCTCTTTCTAGAAATTTTGAGGCCCAGAGGAGCAGTCTATTCACAATAGATTCTTCGATATCTGGCTATGCTATCAGATGATAGCTATCGAAA